TATCGGTGCTTTACCAGGGTTAGCGGGATCCAGCGCGGGAGGCCCTCAAGTCCGCCATAGTGCTGGTGGGTATAACGCGAACCACAGCAACTACGAGGCTGCCCACCAAGCGCATCGGAAGCGCGCACTTGGTACCAGCACGGCTATCACTGTTTCAATCACAATCCGACTCGTCCACTTGGTGAAGACAACATTTCAGACTTTCGAGGTGCGTGGTCATTTTTTCTGCTGCAAATGCCTATTGACCCTTATGCCTAGACGTGTATGAAAACGATTCCCGAGGTTGTCCCTGTCAATATCACTGCTTCATCGCTACTCGATCTCGCGTTCAGTTGGATGCAAGAACCTTATCGCGACGCGCTTACCAACCTCGGCTACACCGAGATTTTCCCTCTTTATATCTCTGACGTCGAGCTGCAGAACTCAGCTGGCATTCCCTTCAATCTTGAGTCCGACACACCCGCTATTCGACAGCACTTCTTCAAGCCGGGCAAGGATGGGAGCAGCCTTGTCTTCAACAACAAAGCGACTGTTCCTGTCATCCGACTGATGCTGTCGCCCAACTGGATGGCTCGTTATCGCAGCTGGACTATTGAGATGGATGAGCAGGAGTTGGCATTAGAGGAAGGGACGGCGGCGCGGGGAATGAGTAAACGGAAGGGGACTGGGTCAGTGAAGCCGCGAAAACGGGCCAAGACATATGTGAGTGATTCACGCTGTGTGCATTTCCACACCACTGACGATACTACAGTCGGAAAAGATGATCGAGTCATCTAAAGCGGTGGAATCTCTGACGTCAGCCTCCGTAGTTCCCAGCAACGAAAAGAGTAATTCCATGTCTATCCCATCGTCTCGCGCCATCGCGCCGTCTCGCGCCATCGCGCCGTCTCGTGCCATTGCGTCGTCTCGTGCCATTGCGTCGTCTCGCGCCCGTTCAGTCGTCTCGCGCCGTCCAGTCGTCACAGATTCCCGCTGCTCCTGCTCCTGCCGCCGCCGCCACGACCACTACCGCCACCGCCGCCGTACCTACCAGTTCCGATGGCGGATTGGCCCTAGTGGTCATCCCCGGTCCCGATGATCTTGCACGGGCACTTTCATTGGCCACAAGTACTAATGCGCGGGATGCTCGTCTGTTTGGTAGGTTTCCTCAAGTTCTATGACATGCGGATCCTGATATGAATGTAGTTCAGTTCCGCACGTTCCGTGTCGGCCTGAAGATGGTCCTGTTACTCCCACTCAACGAGCTCACCAAAGCTATGTCATCAAGCCGCCTCGACCGATTCGCGGCAGAGTCCGAGTATGCGTTGACCATTGACTTCAACCACAAGAGCATTGGTGGCTTTAAAGCGGCATACTTCGGACACATATCAACGTCTCCATTCACGTCATGTCGCCTCGAGATCTGCGCCAAAGAAGCACATAATGGACAAGGTCTGTCTGTCTTATCGTGCATTATTTACACATCTGATATCCGTATAGCTGGTGCTAACCGCAAGACCTTGTCTCCGGAAGCTCAGCTCCAACATCTTCCAGACGAGATCAGCGCGCATCAGTGGGGTAATGCGCTTCTCGAAGCTACCTACGCTATGATGCGTGCTTGGCGCGCAACGAAGATGGCTGATGATCCATACTGGCGTTCAACGCTTCAAGCCCCACAGCTTCGTTTTGCGGAGGTCGGACTTGCAGTTGAGCAGGGTGGCGGAAGATATTCAAAGGTTTTCATGGTTGAGGAGCGCATTACTGGGACCTTCACAAAGTATATCAACAATGGCTCTGCACGGGTCTTGTCCTCAGTTCAAAATGACCCGATTGCGCTCTTCCTCTCATTCACACAACATGCTCAGTATCTCCTTTCTGATGGCATGCTCTTTGTCAGTGACTATCAGGGTTTGTTGTTCTATTGGCTGATTGTGTGCATGACTGACACAAATGTTTAGGTGGACTTGATAATGGGGGAAATTTTCTGCTGACTGATCCTCAGATAATCACTGATCCGTACGTTCTATGCAATTTTGTGGCAATAATTGCTGACAAAATGTCCAAGGGCACTTGGCAAGTTATTTGCCAGAGGTAATGTTTCTGCAGCCTTCCACAACTTCAAGAGGGATCATCAATGCAACCAATTTTGCACTGACTATAACTTAACACCCCTTAATGAATTTAGGCCAATTCGCTCAAAGGCCACATAAATATACTCTCCTTACTTTTTTCTTCTTCTATTCTCTTAGCCTATGTTTACCTTAATCACGTCGCATGTACGTAGTTAGTTACATGCATATCAATCATTTGCTTATTGATTTATCAAAAGACTTTGGACTTCTTCCTCCTCCTCCTCTTCATCTTCTGGAAGATCAACTGCATATTCCACTGCTTCATCTTCTTCCTCATCACTGAATAGACGTTCACCAAAAAAGTTATCATCTATCTCAGGCATATCAATATCTTCATTGTCTTGACCAGAATTGATAGGCTGAACATCATAGTCAAAGTTCTGCTCCAATGACTTATATGCTGTCAGGATGGCACCACGGTCACCATCAGTCAAGTCCTGCTCCAGGCAGTCACGCAAAATGACAAATGTGTCCCAGATGGAATCATAGGTGATTTCTGGACGGCCAATATCATCATACAGCTGCTGAACCTGTGCATGGAAAGCAGGGGATGTAAGTTCAAATACTGGGCTTGTTGGTGGAGACCAAAGTGATGTCATCCTGTCTAACATTTCATTTGAAACAGAAACCTATAACTTGGTAAAAGTTTGTTGGAGAGGATTAGTAAAGTTCTTACAGCAAAATTCTGGCCATGCCATCTTTCAGGATTTACATGAATTTCATCTGGAATACCATGCGGAAGGATTTTATGTTTGTAAGCACGTCGCATACTGCCATTTTGACGATCTGTCCAAGCATCAAGCTCTGCCTGTAGATAGGGAATAAAGAGCCATCGGAAGAGGAAGCTACATATTTTAAGTATTATGAATCCATCAGATGAGTGTCAAAAAAAAACGCACGTATCAACTGGATCACGACGTGAGAAATCAATGATGCCAAGTACTTCGCCTTGCTCCAAAAGATGTTCAAATCCTACAGCCCAACCACGACGGATACGAGCCCAACTAATTTCTGATTTGATGTTCATTTTATCATAGTGCCACTTGTGCTGAATTGTGCCTTGGAGAGATTCATCAAGCTCTTGACGCATGGCAGTATGACATTTAGCAATGCCGTTATTTTCACGGCCAGTATCACTAAATGTGAGTAAAGGAATTGCTGCAAATATTTTAGATTTTTTCAGTAAAAAAATAATAAAAATAATAAAATAAAATAACATCAGAAAAAGAGAAGTATTTAAAAACTTACTATTCTCTCGCCTTGCTGCTTCAAGATAGTATCCAGTAACAAGAGCTGTATTCCGGTTGGTCCACCATATCTTGTTCCAATGAAATCGTCCGGTGTATGGATCCATTCCTAGATGCATATATAGGCCAAAGTACTTCCATTTGTCATGTTGATCAAAGGTCCAGATCTCCATTACACCTGCACTGTAAAAACGTGAGCGTTTGAAGCGAGCACCATATCTCCGTGCAACAGCTTCTGGCTCAATAGTCCGCAGAATATCAAGTAAATCCTTTCTATAAATCTTTATCAGTAATTGAGCATAAATTTATAAATTAATTAAACTCAGGGATCTTAATACCGTGCTCCCATCGAAGCACAACCACCAGTGACCGTGCTCCCATATTAGGATATGCTGGTCGGAGGCTAGCAATGATTTGTGGCACATTGGCATATGCATTTGGCTGGTGCTTCTGCTGGTATGTGCCAAGCAGGTTAAGCCGCCGCCGTGCCCGGAAACAGCTTGAAACACTAGCATAGGTATGAGATGTTTTCCCTAAAGCCAGCCAGTACACAACTTACCTGATTGTATATGCCTTTCCCCGGAACTCAGGGTTCTTTGCAATATCCTCCTTTATTGCTTCTATCATGCGCTTATCACCGTACCCTCGAGTCCAGTAATGGTGGATCTTCGGATCAAGCCATTCACAAGGAGCTGGGAGCAGTATAAGGAGGATTTGCTGAATTTCACCACTGGGGGACCTACGAAGGGGCATTGCAGCTGGAAGTTAAAGGCAAGGTAGATTGGCATTATCGATCGGGTACATTCGGTCCGTTTCTGATACTGATATATTATCTCCGGGGTCCTCATGTCAAACCCTGTCATCGCTGACACTCGGGTAACACCCGGCAACGCTGGCGGCATGTCAAAATCTGACATGACCACCTTCTGTTGCAATTATCACCGTACCCTCGAGTCCAGTAATGGTGGATCTTCGGATCAAGCCATTCACAAGGAGCTGGGAGCAGTATAAGGAGGATTTGCTGAATTTCACCACTGGGGGACCTACGAAGGGGCATTGCAGCTGGAAGTTAAAGGCAAGGTAGATTGGCATTATCGATCGGGTACATTCGGTCCGTTTCTGATACTGATATATTATCTCCGGGGTCCTCATGTCAAACCCTGTCATCGCTGACACTCGGGTAACACCCGGCAACGCTGGCGGCATGTCAAAATCTGACATGACCACCTTCTGTTGCAATACTGCTCACATACTTTTCCGTCCCATCCCGTCCAAATTACGTCCGAAGCTGTTGGCCCTCGCACCTTTATGGCCACGTCATCGACAATCATCAGCGTGGGAGACAACATGCAACGACCCAAGACTCGAAAAGCACGCACCTCCGCTCCGCCGTCCTCCAGCGACGTCTGCATCCTCCCTATTGAGGTGGTAAAAAAGGCCACACGATGTAAACTCTTTGGCTTTGGCCCGGCACTACGATTTATTTATACTCCGTGTCCGGCTATTTCGGGTCCCATCACTGACAGATCGCTGATTTTCCAATTAGCCGTCTTTCTCCCACCCACCACCGCAACCGCGAAACTGACTCCTGGGCGCTTGCTGCCCGTACAAGTAGCGGTGTTCCTCGGAAACAAGGCGGCCAATGGACCTGTCGTTCGCCATCCCCCAGGCCGTCCTGCGCCACGTTGCTTTCCGCCATTCGCTGGGTGACGATGATGCCCTCCTGCGCCTCCCCGTTTACGCCGCCGCGGTCTCTGCGTCTGTGCTGCTGGTGCAGACCGGGGTGGCATTCCGCTCTCGGGGAGGGTCGACGGGGGCCACGCCGGCGATTGGCTGGGGTGCTATCCTTGCGTGGCGCGTCACGCGGTTTGTCGCTACCGCGGCAGCGTTAGGGCTTTCGGTCGCGGTGGCTATTGACGAGGGAGATACGTGGCAGGAGATGCTGCTTGGAACGGGGCCATATGTGCGCTATCACTCTATCTTTTTGCTGCCTATCCTCATTCCTTACAGCTCTACGCGGCTTTTCTGTCGTTCTTCACCCTAGACCCCCGGAAGTACCGCCAGCGGCTCGTGTGCCACGCCAACTTCGTCCTCCTTGCCGCGTCCGCGCTCTACATCTACCGCGACGTCATGCCGCTCGCCACATTCACGCAGGAGCCGCTCGACCGTGGCGCGAAGATGGTAGCCAAAATTGCATTGGTGTTCTTCAGCGGCCTTGTCGTGCCGCTATTCACACCACGGCTCTACACACCCGTCGATCCCTCTGTGCGTGCATTGAATCCGCTGCAGCCTCCGCTGATGACTACCCAGAACCCGCAAAAAGAGCTCAACCCTGAGCAGACCGCGTCGGTCTTCAGCTTCGCGCTCTACTTCTTTCTCGACACCATCATCTTCGCCGCGTATCGCCAGAAGGAGGTCCCCGAGGACCAGCTCTACGCGCTGTGCGACACCGACGGGGCCGAGCACCTCAAGCGGCGCAGCTTCAAGGTGCGTAGTCTGCATCACAAATACTTGGTTAACACAAGTTGCAGTTCCTCGATGTCTTCTCCGGCGCCAAACAACGCCACCCGTTCTTCGGCCTCATGCGTGTCTATTGGAGAGAATTCGCAGCCCTGTTTGCGCTCGTCGTCGTCCGCTGCCTCGCCAACTACACGGGGCCGTTCGCGATGAACCGGCTCTTGCTGTAAGCTGTACATGTGCAGGTTGCCAGAGCGCTGACTCCTTTCCGAAGGTACATCGAGACGCGCGACCAGCCCGACAGCCACGTCGTGCGCCCGTGGGTGTGGATCGCGCTCGTCGCGGGCGGGCCGCTCATCGGCGCGCTCGCGTTCCAGGCGTACATCTTTGTCAACACGCGCACGCTGGTGTGGACCGAGTCGGTCGTCACGCAGCTCGTCTTCGCGCACAGTCTGCGCATCCGCGTCAAAGCGGACAGCAGAGATGATGAAGACGCTCAGGCAGCGGCGACTGACCAACAGCCCGTTGCGGCGGCGGTGAGTGAGTCCGGGAGCACGAGCGCGGCTGAGGGCGATGCGGAATCGACAACGATCCAGCCCAGTTCGGCGAGTGTCCGCTCGTCGAGCAGCAGCAGTGCGGCACAGAAAGACGGCAATCAAAAGACTGCAAAGCAGGCCGACAAGAAGGCGGAGGAGAAGGGCCAGTCGATGGTGGGGAAAATCAACAACTTGGTGACAACCGACCTGTGCGTGATTCTTCCGCTCGTCCAGCGTCTGACTCACGCGCTCCAGCGGCAACATCAGTGGGTGTTCCTGTCCCTCCTGCGCGACACGCTGAGCTGGTGTATAGCCGACAGCCGCGACTTCATCGATCTGTTCCTGTACATCCCGCTGCAGCTGGTCATCGGGATATACTTCCTGTATGTGCTCCTCGGGTGGTCCGTGTGGGTCGGCGTCGCGTCGATCGTGCTCCTGGCGCCGCTGCCGGGGTACAGTGCGTTTCGTTTCTCATTAGAGCGACAAGCCGCTTGACCGAGAGACAGTGGGGAGCCTCGTCGGGAAGGTGCAGAAGCAGCGCCTGAAGCGGACGGACGAGCGGGTGTCCAGTGTCAGCGAAGGTACGGTGCTCTTGCGTTTGGTCATCGACTGACACATCTTAGCCGTCAATGTGCTGCGGATGGTCAGCTCGATGTAGTTACTTCCGCGATATTGCTGCTCACGGCTTCCCATCACAGATTAAGCTATTTGGCTGGGAACAGAAGATGGAGGACAGAATCCTCGAAAAGGTGGTGTATATACTGGCTGGCGCTGTTCACTACCGTGCTGACACACCGACAGCGCGACCTGGAGCTCTCCTGGATCCGCAAGCGGCAGTTCATTGAACTTATCAGCAGCACTGTTAAGTATGACATTGTTCCTTGGTCCTGTGCTGATGCTGACCTGCTGATAGTTTTCTCATCCCTGTATGTCCCTTCCTCGTGTAATCAGTCGGCATGTCTCAATAGACCTAGGTGACCACAATGGTCTTGACTTACGGGACCTAGTGCGCGATATCCATTGTTTCTCGCACCGGTGCGCTAACCATCAAGCAGCACCTTGATTATGAAGGAGGCGTTGACGGCGTCAAAGGTCTTCTCCAGCATGACCATATTCGACTTCCTAAGGTATGCTGAGATCCTTCTAGCTCCGAAAACTCGCTCTGACAGACCTAATAGGGAAACCATCGCCATTGTAGCCGTCTATTCCAATCGTCACAAGTGTACTTACATTATTTCCAGGTCACCTACCGCATAAACCAGTCCATGTCGGGGAAAGTCTCGCTCGACCGTCTGTACGCGTTCCTGCGCGACGTCAGTCTCCTGTCCGCCCAGATTACACCGCATATTCACACCCCGATACAGACAGAGCTGCTCGACGAGTTCAGCCCCAAGGACACAGACGCCGCCGCACTGCTCGGCGACGCGGCCGCCGCCGACGAGCGGATCGGCTTCCGCAATGCGCCGTTCGCGTGGGCACGGGAAGCAGACGGGGCGCGGACGCGGACGCGCGCGCGGCGGTTCCAGCTCAAAGTCGATGGCGAGGTGCTGTTTGCGCAGGGGAAGATCAACCTCGTGATCGGCCCGACCGGCGCTGGTGTGTGCCGCTCGCAGTCGTGGTGCGTCTGCTGATCAATGGAGACAGGCAAGACATCGCTGCTTATGGCGCTGCTTGGTGCGTTATTTTCGTTCATGGCAACGCAATGCTGACTGGACCCGAGGGGAGATGCACTTCATGCCGTCCACGCCCGACGCGTGGTACAATCTGCCGCGCGCGGGCGGCGTCGCGTATGCCGCGCAGGAGTCGTGGGTGCTCAACGAGACGATCCGGGAGAACATCACGTTCGACACGCCGTATGACGAGGCGCGGTACCGCAAGGTGCTGTATCAGTGCGCGCTGGAGCCGGACTTGAGGCTCTTCCAAGCCGGCGACCAGACCGAGGTCGGGGAGAAAGGTAGATTTTTCGCTCGGGACAGTGATTTGTGACTAAGGCTCCGGGGGTAGGGTTGACACTGTCCGGAGGGCAAAAGGCGAGGCTGACGCTTGCGCGGGCTGTCGTAAGTCATCTCATTATTTATGACTCATTAGCTCAAGAGGTCGAAACGTGTGTCTAGTACTCAAATGCGAAGATCCTCCTCCTGGACGACATCTTGGCTGCGCTGGAGTATGCCTTACCTTTGCTTTCTTCCTGTGCTTGACTTGTTTCAGCGTGCATACTGCCCAATGGATCGTCGAAAAACTCTTTGGCGGAGATCTTATCGAGAACCGCACGGTCATCCTTGTGGTATGTCCTTAATCTCAACTGAATGGTATAGTATATTCAACTCTCAAAAGACGCATAACATCGCACTCACGCGTCCCATCGCGGACTATATCGTCACATTTGGTTCGGACGGGCGCATTCAAGCGCAAGGCACTGTCTCGGAGCTCAGCAAACGCGGCTCCGTCATGGCCCAGATCGAGGCGGCTGTGGCAGAGGATGCGGAGCAACTCGACAAGCAGCAGGAGGTCATCGACCCGAAGGTGCCCGAGGACAACAAGCCCAAGAGCGGCGACGGAAAATTGATTGTAGCGGAGGAGATTCAGATGGGCCACGTCAGTAGTGCAGCACGCAAGTCCTTTACTTCTCGCATGCCTGGTTTTGGCTGACTTGCGTCCACAGTCAAGATGTATTTCTCCGCGATGGGCGGGAAACATCCGGTCATGTTCTTCGTGATTCTTTATGGCAGCCTCTTGTTCAACCAGAGCTTCGTCATTTTGCGCACGTGGCAGCTTGGGCGGTGGGCAAAGCAGTATGATGATCGGCCACCCAGCGAGGTCAATGTGGTCCTGTGAGCAGCCGCGTATGCATAATTTGACTTGCTGACCAGTCACTGCTCCCAGAAACCTCTCGATCTTCAGCGGAATCGTCTTCATCTCGACTTCTGCGCTCAGCTTCGTGTACCTCTTCCTCGTGTTTGGCCAACTGCGCGCATCTAAAATCATACACCGCCACCTAATCGAATCGGTGCTTACCGCGCCGCTGCGGTGTGTACTTCCTGGATTCGAGTGATTCATTCTTAACTTCCCGTTTAGCTGGCTCGATGTGACGCCTGTCTCGCGGATTCTTGCGCGGGTGACGAATGACGTCCGTGCCGTGGACGACTCGATCCCGCGACAGATTTGGCCTCTGTCGGCGCTGCTCAGCTCGATGCTGGTATGTCCTCCGTTCTGAACTTGTGCTCCCTCACTTCACGGCTTAGGTGCGTTTCGGTGCGATTCTGCTCTATGCACCGGTGTTCTTCTTCCCGGGCGTCGCCGTCGGCGCGTTTGGCGCGTGGATGGGGCAGGTCTACATTGCGGGACAGCTCCCGGTCAAGCGTCTGATGTCGAATACCCGGGCCCCCGTTCTTGCTCAGTTAGTGCCACACTTCTGCTGAAACACCACTTTGATCACTACCGGACAGTTTCGGCGCCGCCATCGCGGGACTCAGTATGCCACTATTTTCTGGTTGCAATGGATCTGACGGCCCGCACAGCTTCTATCCGGGCGTTTGGAGCCCAGGAAAAGTTTACAAGGGAGTCTCTTGTCCGGATCGACAGATATACCAGAGCCGCGCGCAACTACTACAACCTGAACAGGTGAAGTTGTCCACACGAGGTCTTCTGCTCAGGCTGCTGACACATTCGCAGATGGATAGGCATCCGCGTGGACATTCTGGGAGCGGTCTTCTCGGCAAGTCTGGCAACATACCTGCTCTATATTCGCCCCACGAGCGCGGGCGACGCCGGATTCATCATCAGCATGGCGCTGGTGTTCACGCAGATGCTTCTCTGGGTCGTAAGTTTGCTTTGCGCTGCCTGCTCATTCTAGGGTGCTAATCACGCGCAGGTGCGGACCGTGAACGACTTTGAAGTCGAGAGCAACAGCCTCGAGCGGATCAAGGGCTACCTCGACATCGACCACGAGAAGCCGGCCACCCCTTCGGGCGTGCCGCCGGCGTATTGGCCTGCCAGCGGAGAGCTCGTCGTCGAGAATCTGTCGGCGCGGTACTCTGAGGACGGGCCGAACGTCCTCCATAATCTGTCTTTCCGCGTGAAGGCGGGGGAGCGTGTTGGAATCGGTAAGTTGGGACTATGCTTCGGGGTACGAGAAAGCTGAATGCGCGTGCAGTGGGCAGGACAGGGTCCGGAAAGGTCGGCTGATTCACAAATATGACGATACACGGTTGACACAGTGGAATTCAGAGCTCACTAACTCTCTCCCTCTTGCGCTGCATCCCAACTGACGGTTTGGTCTCGTATGACGGTCTAGACACCTCGAAGCTCAATCTCGATGCCCTCCGTTCGAGTATAACTATCATTCCCCAAGTTGTAAGCTGTTCCCATCTTAATCAGCAATGGCAGGTGTCTGATTCTTTGCAGCCAGAGCTTCTGAGCGGTACCCTGCGCTCGAACCTGGATCCGTTCGGGCAGCAGGACGACGCCACCCTGAATCATGCATTACAGGCGGCGGGGCTGGCTGCTCTGCAGAGCGACATGGACGACGGCCGTATCACGCTTGATAGCCCTCTGTCCGCTGGGGGCGGGAACTTGAGCGTGGGCCAACGCCAGATTTTCGCGCTGGCCAGGTGAGTTTCGAATTAACTTGCATACTAGTGTGCGCTAACAATGGGAAAGGGCAATCGTACGCAAGAGCAAGATACTGATTCTTGACGAGGCAACGTCTGCCATCGGTATGTAGACCGGGCTGTTTAGGCCGCGTTGCGACTGATCGGTTCCCAGATTATAAAACCGGTGCAGCGCTTCTCGGATATCTGACATTGATCGTGCTGACAATGATCGTCTAGACGCGATAATCCAGAACTCGCTGCGCCAAGAGCTGCAGGGCGACGTGAGCCTGCTCACCGTCGCGCACCGGCTGCAGACAATTATGGACGCCGATAAGATTGTAAGTGTTACGGTTCTGGTCCCGCAGCTGCGACTCTAACTCTCCGCAGATGGTGCTGGATGCGGGGAAGATTGTACGTCTTTTCTGCCACTCAATTTATATGCTGAGGTCCTACAGGTGGAATATGATGCCCCCAAGGCGCTCCTCCAGATCGAGGGCGGAAAGCTGCGTGCGCTGGTGGACGAATCTGGCGACAGAGAGAATCTGTACCGGATGGCTGGCGTTTTATTGGATTAGTGTTATTATAGTTCTTGTGGATGTTGGCTTGATATACTTATCATATTTGTCCAACTGGCTCATCAAGCCGTGCGGGAATGCGCGCTCTCTTTACTGCCAATTTCCCTCTACTGTGCCCTCCACCCATATTCACCCTGCAGAGGTCATCAAAGAACCAATTTTGATGGACACCTTTTGGCCAAAAAATGTAAGTTTAATTTGCTTTAGGAGTACTGCACTATACTAGTACTAATAACACTCTTCCACTGGGTTCAATTTAATAATTATATTTTTGTATCTGCACCAGGTTATTCTAGTACTGGCCAGAATTATATTATGGTTGATTAAATATTGAATATGTTCAGAATATTATGAATCTATTATGCCCTTCGGAAATATGATTATGTTTGAATATATCAAGTTATATTATGACTATACTCTATTATAAGCCCAGAATATTTAGCTATTGTAAGGTGGATGATCATAGCTATTTTCTCACTCCATGCGCTCAGTCATAGTACTGATCCTAGTCTAAGTGAGCCCTACTTAGCCCTACTTCTGATAAATATCACATATTATCTATTCGGAAGGACTTAAGAAGAAGGTCTCTGCTTATTGGCAGCCTTTGATTTTTGCGTTCTCTCCATGATCTTCCGCTCCCCCCACGCCCAATGCGGGCTCTCCTCCCCATCACCATCATCATCCAAATCCACATCCTTGGCGCTGAACGCCACGAACCGCGGATCACGCGGAACCATCTCGGTCCACCCGCCGCGGTACGGCGGCACCGCAAACACCGCCACGCGCAGCGCCGGCAGTCGCCGAATATCTTCCCACACGCCGGCGATCATCTCGTTGCCGGTCCCGCGCAGCGCGACGTGCGTGACCTGCCGGAGCTGCGCGGGCCGTGCGCGCAGCAGCGCGAAGACAGCGGGGATCGTGTACCACCCCGCGTCCGGCCAGGCGGACGCGATGTGCACGTGCGTGAGGCGGCTGTAGAGCGCCGGGTCCGGGTCCGCGCCCAGGACGCGCCTGACGATTTCGTCAAGCTCCGGCACCACCGGGCCGGCAAAGCCCACGCCGTACCGCGTCGCGAAGAAGAGGACCGACTCGCGCAGCTTGGACCCCCGCGCGGGGTCTGCGAGGAGCGTGAGCCGCGTCGGGCGGATGCGCAGCCCGGGCCGGAGTAGCTTGGCGATCTCCGCATCACATACTTTGAGGTGCTCCAACCCCGGGCAGCGCTCGCCCACCAGGGCCCAGAAGTCGTCGAAGAGCTGTGGCGTTGGGATGCGCAGTGTCAGCCGGCGTAGCCCGGCGAGGATGTGGTGGCTCTTAGAGCGGAGGGTGCTGCAGAAGGTCCGGATGGCGGAGATGGAGGACAGCGTGACAGAGGCGTAGAGCACAGTTTCTGCTGCCCGCCCGACGGCCTTCGAGCAGACCGCCAGTGTGAGCGCGCTAGCGGTGTCCGTCCGCGCGGAGATACGCACGATGTCGAGGAGGACGTCATCTGGGAGGAGAGCAGCGATAAGGCTTGAATTTGTGGGCTCAGGCTGGACGAGAAGCCTGCACAAACATTAAGTATTTTGCATTCTGAGCTGAAGGCACCCGCCATTTAATCTTGTTCAAGCTTTGAGGCTTCAGCAACGACAGGCTCATGGGGGTGTGGAGCAAGGAAGGGCGACAGTGTGGCGCTTGACGTCAAGGATGCGGGAGAACATCATCTGTTTATAATAGTGCAAATACAGATATGATATGGACCCGGATGTGATGGTGTACCATCAGCCATCATGCCAATCCCCGCATAACGTCCGGCATGAACACCGGGGTTTCTGCTCAAACATGGGTCCTAAAGTCGGATTCATTTATGATAAATAGTGGACAAAAAGATGTATATTTTAACAACTTAGAAAGCTAACAAATAAACTCCAGGAACAAATATGTAAGAAATTGGGGTATATATTAAGTTATCAGATTGGACTTAACTCAAAGCCAATATCAGCTGACAATCTTGTGGCTAGCCATTGAATATACCACAAGATACAAGACCATATATGTTAAAAAATCAGGGATAAGGTCTAAAGTATACCTATATATATATATGAGAAATAGGTCAGGCTGTGGGTCAGGCCATGCAAGGCTTCTCCTAAGAACGCACACCCAGAACAGAACAGATGGATTGTTGGGCCTGCAAGCCAGTGTTGCACCGAAGCCCTAAGGCTTCGACCTCCCCTAAGGTCTAAGGGCTTAGACTAAGCCTTAGTGTAAGGCTTAGTGTATCGGGACTTTCGGCTCTGCGAAGCCTAAGGCCTTGGAGTCACGCAGTCACATCATGATGTAATATATGGAAATTTTCTTCTCTGATTCTCGCACTCGCGATGGCTCAAGGGACCGAGCGGCATGTCCTCTGGTCATACTTCTGGGACCGGCCTGTCAAGTGCCGTGCAGAACAGAGGGGGTTTCTACTATAGCTAACAAGCCAGTAGCTGCCTGACACGAATGAACACAAGACCAACCGGACCGGAGAGGAGTCGGAGCGGACAAGGTCCGCGAGCGGAGAGGAGTCCGGTTGAAGGACAAGAGAAGAGAGGAGAGTAATCGGAGTCGTTCCGCACAGAGGAGGAGTGCAAGTAACGTTTATAATCAAGCTAAAGTACCGTAGCTACTTTAGCTGCTTAAATACTACGAGTAAGTAGAAAGGGAAGACCATAAGTAAGTACAAGGTACGGAGTGCATATGGAAAGTAACAAGCATAAGGACATATGGAGATATAAGTAACAAGGCGAAAGACATACAAAGTACAAGGTCGCCGGAGCGACCGGATCGGCCCGGCCAGAACAGGAGTCACATACGTGCTGCCTGCCATGCATGTGTTGCCTACTTCCAGACCAACCCAACCACAGCATTGGGACGATACGCGACCTTGGGAGGACTTGATGGAGCCAGGGGAGAAGGAGGCTCGATTTGAAGCAGCCTGCAGGTGCGTGACTATGAACCCTTGCATTTGCTTTGACTCATGTTTATTAGTGTGTAACCTCACCCATGTCAACTGCAATGGTGTACCCAGCTCCCTCGCCGCACATATCAACGGCTTCTGTGGTCAAGCACCCAAGTACAAGGCCGACTCAGAAGAGAAGGCCAAGGCTGCTAAAGCTCCTGTTGCTCAGCCTGTTCTTGCTGCGAGCATACGAACCCATTTGGACACTGTGACGACTTCCCGAGAATCCGACTCTACCTCTATGCCGCCCATGAAGCGTGCCAAGCAGACAGTCTTTGGCATCATTTCGGCACGAGACTCCCAGTACTCTTCATCCGACGTCAACACTATCGAAAAGTTCGATCTTATTGCCTTGGTCACAATATCGCATAGTATGACAAGTGTAACAAAATTCCTCAAACGGAAATTTGTCAGTTGATCATTATGAATAATTGGATCAGGTAATAGTGGGGTGGTGTGATTGTACAGGGTTAGCAACAAGTCGACACACCTCTAGCTTCGACACATATAAGTTCACACTTAAACATACCAAAGCCGCCTTCCTTTCTTCAATCCTACTTACTATAACCCTTACTTCTTTATATATAAGGCTGCTATGAGCATAGTGGAAGACTTATCGTTTCACACTGCGCTTCCAGTATTTTATTAATCAATTTATGTTCTTGTAAAAAGTTCTTATCATAGCTTCCCAAAAGTACCAATAAAATGCAAAAAATGCAAGAGATGCTAAATATAGAAACAACTCTATAAACAAATAGAACTAACAGATTGTAGTTGGTGTGTTCTGGGCTCTATGGAAAGTATATCCATGCTGTAACCCATAAGAGCAAAAGATGATAAAACACCAACTTCAAGCTAGCAATGTCCAGAACAAGCAGTTCATCATCATTTTAAAGTTGAGCTGATTCCTGTTGGGTAGTGTTGCTAAAAGCTTTTATTTGTTTTTTAGTCTTTTAATAGGATATTACTGATGGAATTGTTGTAGTTTAAGTGATTTGATGGATGTGGAATGATTTTTAATTGCCATCAGACATTTTGATAAATATATAAGGATATACTGCAGGGATCTGTAGGGGTACAACATAACGCATAATGGTACCTTTGTTGTGTTGCAGCTTGTTGCAACATGTAATGCATAACAGGCCTGGTGTTGTAGGTCTGGGATATTCATTTTAAAATAATAATTTTAGGTAATTAAATAAATTGGAAAAAAGCAAAAAAAAATAATAATTCATATATAATTTACATCCTCAAGTTGGCCTATAGACTCCAATCCATCTATGTCTGTCCCAGTTGAGACAGCATCTACAACTTCTGCCAGTGGAATATCTGAATCATCAAAAGTGGACTCATCCAATTCAGCCTCTGCTGCTCCTTCCTTCTCAGCATTGGTTAAAATTCGATCAAGCTTGGCCGCCCCACATCGATTGCTGATCTCCTGTGCAAGTGTCGGATCTGACCTGAGATATCCGAGGAGCGCCTTCTCGCTTGAGCGACCATAAAGACAGTCTTCCGACAGGCACCATGGTGAATCAGGGACTTGGCATTTTGCAAAGCTCTGTTTGATGAGCCGCTGACCCTTGGAGGTCAGCAAGAACTCATAAAGTTTGACTAGTGGCATGACTGCCATGTCCTGAAGGGGCCCAATATGCTTCGGAAAGTGCACATCAGGAGGAGCCACACCCTGTGTAATCTGGTTGCGCGCATATACTGTGCAAGCCAAGCCTGAAACTCTTGCTTGAGAAAATGCTTGATGACTCGATTGAGACCCACATCACATGGTTGAGCAATGCCGGTACAGCCGCCAGGAACATAGATAAGAATGATATGTGGAGCTTCAGTGAACACGAATTAGCGGAAGCCGGTACTCATATGAACCGGATAAATGTCGATATATGCAATCATCATCTGATCATCGGGGAGACCATCGTCTTCGATGACTTGACGTCAATGCGGCTCGAGGCACTCAAGGACCCAGATCTTCATTGTATGAAGTGTTGCGAAATGACTGTTGCCCTTTTCACTC